TCCACCCAGAAGTATATCCACTTGTCAATTTGGTCCCTGCCTTTTGTAACATTGTTCTATTTCAATACTTTTTTTCGTCGTTATTACAAATTTGGTCCTTCTTTGGTCAATGAATAGTGAATCCTACTGTACACTCTTAGAGTTCGTTGTCGCTCTTACATGTTTTTGAAAACTGTCGCTTTTTTGCCAATTTTTTTTAGAAAACTCTAAATTATTTCTAACCCATGCGATGCATGGGCTCTTTCCTAGTTTCAATAAAATGAGGCGCAAGTTATGAAAAAGAGCAAATGCTGATTATTTATTATTAGTTTTAAAAAGTGGCATATAAAAAGAATCGAACCTGAGCACCTACCTACCATCTTTACCAAAACACTAACCAACTGATCTAGTGAAATTATATGCAATTGTTTAACACAACATATATATATTAAGTATAAAACAGAATTATTTTTGGGGCCCAAACCATAATGAGGCCCGGGGCCGTCGCCCACCTTGCCCACCCTATTGGACCGGTCCTGGTTAAGTATTTGACCATCTGATTGGAAGTAAAAAACTAAAAGCAAAAGAAAAAATAATAATAATCACGGCTAATGGGCTATCACGAAGCAAATCGATACCATATGATTTTTTTTAATACGTAATATTTATTAGATAATATATTGATTGAAAAACTATAAAAGATATATTAGAATTCATAGTTTTAAAATTCTTTATAAATAAAATATAATATTAATATGTTTTAACTTATATACGTCCATATACGAAAATTTTATATAAATATATTTTTGATAGTATTATAGTCTTATACATTTAGGTTGATCGAGAAATTTTTTTTCAATAAATAAATGGACTATGTCTTCTTGTTCCCGAGTTCCACTTAAGGAGAGAAATGGGAGGATACGGAGGGAAAGTGAGGGTTGTCGAAGGAAAATCGTGTTCCCGAGTTTCATTAATGGAAGGAAAGTGAGGGGAGGGGAAAGATTTTGGAGTCATATTTTCCTTTCAAATTTTCGTCCGAGATTGGACAGATTTGGGAAGAAAGTGAGGGGAAGGAAAATTTTTAGTTTTATTTTCTTTTTCCTTCTAACTCGGGAACACAAAAACTTAAAATTTTCCTTTCACTTCCTTCGAACTCGGGAACACTGAATAATGTTTCCTTCACCTCTTTTTCTTTCCGTCAAAATTTTCGTTTCCTTTCTTAAATGAATTTTAAAAAAAAAACTCGGGAATATCGTCATCCACATTTTGGCGGGAAATCGGCATTCATTCACCCTGCGTATGTCCAAAATCTGAAAACCCTAGAAAAATCACATAATCATACAAGTAAAATCAAATGGATCCAATAACGATGGAAGGAGGTTACAACGGAAGCGATGAGGAGAAAGAGGACGTTGAGGAAACCACTAGTCATCTCAGAGATCGATTCCGTCTTTCCACCATCTCCATTGCAGAATCCGAAGGTAAGTTGTATATTGCAGTAATTCTCTTGCTCGATTGGAATTACTTCAGATTCATATTTTTGTTCGTAACAGCCAAACAAGATAACATGGAGATTTCTCAACCTGTTATCGTTTGCATCTCCGATTTAGCGTTCAAGTATGCGGGTACTGCTTCCGCTCCTTTTTCTTCTTTTTCTTCTCTATCACGCATATTCGTTCACTCTGGTTCAGATTAGTTAACTGTAAACGTAGGAAAGTTGACAGTGTTATTGACAACTAATTTTTGGGGTTCTGATGATGTTGATTTTTATATCTTTTGCGTTTCTGAAATCTGAATGTAGATACAATTATGTGAATCAAACTCAAAAATTGACGTGAAATCTATTGTTCGTTTTCGAAAAAGAAATGATATTCGCATTAAACCTCTGCAAACATGGACTCCAAATAGGTCCTGTTGTGACTCCCTTTCTTCATTATGATCAATATCTCATATCTGTTGCTAAAAATACAATTCCATGACTCTTAAAGAGAACCTCTGTGTTCAAATTACTGATATTGTACCTGTTTGAGACTTGTATTAATAAGTCTGCATCTTCATCTTTTACCACATCATGACTATCATAGCTTTTTTAGTATCAATTGTTTGTGGGTGATGAAACAATGGTGTTTTCTGTAACTGCAGAACAGTTGGCAGAGGATCTTGAGATGTTTGCACATCATGCTGGCCGAAAGTCTGTGAATATGAACGATGTCATCATTTCTGGTATGTCTATGAAACTCTCTAAAGCCTTAAGTTATTTTTTTTGTTTCTTTTAATAAAACTATGCATTTAATGTTAGTTTAGTTTTTGTTTTCAGCACATAGAAACACGCATTTGGCAGATCTATTGAGGTCTTTTTCATACAATCTAAAAGCAAAAGAGCCTCAGTCTGAGAAAAAGAGGAAGAAAAGTTCCAGCAAGGAAAGCAAAGGTCTCCCTTCGGTACTCAACCTCGATCCTTAACTGCTGTAGATTCTTGAGTATCAGTAATTCTTATATAGATGTTCAACTGATATGCTGCTTTTGTTCTTTCTAGAAGAAATTGACTCAAATTATTTCTTTGTTTTTCATTAAGTGCTTTTGGATGATAAATTTTAAAAATGTTTGAGAAAATGCAATATATATATATATATATATGAGAAATTTGTAAAGAGTTTAGACTTGTATTGGGAAACCGATTGAAAGTTTATGTTATAAAACAAACTAATTACAGGTAACTTTTTTTTCGAATCATGGATAATTCTCTAAATAGGCAATGATGTGTGTCCGGATAAAATGTTGCATGCATATTTTTTTTTCTTAATCCAATTTAACCATATGAATGAGAACAAATAACCATTTTACACTTACAATCTAAACTACAAATTTCACATTATTCATCAACAAAAATAATGTAATGATGGTAAATATTGGTGGACATAACCATTTTACACTTATATTTTAAGACATGTAAAAATGGTTTGGATTTTATTTCAATTTGTAATAGTTTACTCCTAGAAAATTGACATGAAATACAAAGATGAAGCTTTGGTAAAAACAAAGTAATCAACAAACGTCCTAATTTAGCAAAAAAAGAATACCATCAAACAAAACATGTTGTAAACGAGAGTGAGTGCCAAATTTCAAACGAAGCATGAAGCCTATTAGAAGAGAGACTCGCCAAAAGTTTTGGCTAATGGCTTTGTCGCAAAAAGACGTAAACTAGCGACATAATAAGAGGCATACATAATACATTTCTGAAGTTGAGGGAGAGTCATGTAAGTTTTGCATGCGCTCTACCAAATCGGGTAAACATCTTCACGAGTACACTAGACATCACGCACACTCACATGTAGTCTTAAGGCCAAGGGTTTCAGCTGCTTCGAACGAAGAAAAGTAAAATCACGTTGATCGTTTTCTTCCCATGCAAGAAACACAAGTTTAGGAGACGGTTTAACATCAACATCAATGGTAGGGTTGAAGTTATAGAGTCGTCAATGTATGCAATTAATTTCTAAAAGAAAGTTGTTGAAGAATTTGGTTGCGCAATAAGAGATATTAGATCAGGAAAACTTAATGGTAATCATGTGTAGAAGAGTTGACAGAGGGAAGGAGGATTCATTGTCGGCATCCATGAAGAAAGAGATTGGTCATCAATTTTTGAATCCGAATATCCGATCCGATCATCTAGCTATTCGATCTAAAATTATTGAATTTTTGGAATTGGATTTGGATAATGATTTTATGGATTTTTGTTGGTTGTCAGATCCAACAACATAAATTAACAAAATATGATAAAAGATGAACCAATTTAGTCACACTAGGTGTTAGTATGAATGGAAGTAAAGTTCGTATCCTCATGAAAACGGATTAATAAATTACACAAAAGATGTTCAATTACAAATATGATTGCCATTTAAATGAAGTAAAAACATTGAGGGTTTGATTTTAGAAATTACTACTACCAGCATGAAATGTATTAAAAACAAATTCAAACAATAAAAAACATTCTAACATAAGGGTTATTTTTTTTTTGTTATGATTCAAGTTATCATCATCAATAATTATGATGTAATGATATTTTAAAAAATAATTTGTATTAAGACGTGATGTTTAGTCATTTTAACAATCTTCCATGTGTGTATTTAATCAAATGCACTTCATTAATTAAACCTAATATGTTACACTAAATTCTAGCAATTCTAATCTTAGAGTGCACATTGCAATGATAATGATGGAAATGTCAATCATAGTAAATCATTCATGCATTTCCAAATGTTATAATTATAGTGTATGGATCTATAATGAATTTTTTTAACCGACAAACTAACCTACTCCTAAATACCTATAATGAAATTGAATTCGTAGACAAAAATAACATCATTAATTGTTCCCAAAATTGTTATTAGAAAATTAACAAAGTGATCAAATTCATTAACAATCTATATGTTTTCGAACAAAATCCCAAATTGAATACAAGAAAACAAAACATTCATGAAGTTCTGACATAGTTACTTCATATAAAAGTTTGAATCATACATCAAGACTAAATCTTCAAGTAATCTAAAAAACAATTATAAAACTAAACTTACAATCAAAAAATATATGTTCTCCAATGGAAATAGAAGAATTCTCCTACAAAATGCTCCAAAAAAATGAAGCGTGTGGTCAAATAACCTAAACCCCGTCTTTAAAGGAGGTGATTATAAAAAATTTTCACGTCGACACGACCGTGCTACTAGATAGGTTAAAATCAACATGGTCTTGTGGTCCATAAAGAGTGTTCAAAATTTGCCTCTGCATGGCCGCATGACATTCCTTTACAAAAGTCAGCACAACCGGTTTGCACTTCTGTTTTGTATTTTCCAACTTCAACTTCTATGTCCAAAATTATGTCTCGAGCTTCTTTTAGCATACAAAATCATCCCAAAGTATATAAAATAACTACAAAATATTACATTTTTCCTTCAAATAATTAGGACAACATATCACTATAAGGGTAGAGGGAGTCTATCATGTCCACTTCTTTCAACCCACTTGTCCCATCAATATTTTTTTCTCATACCACTTTCATCATTTTCATCTCACAACACATTAAATCTATCTCTCTTATCCCTCGCAACCTACAAAATTTTTAATAAATAAATACAAACTAATTAAAATCATACAAAACTAATTCACAAAATATTAGAAAAATACAAAACCAATTTACAAATTAATTAAAAACCAATATAACAAGTTTTTCGATGGTGTAGCTCGCGGTATCAATGGTACCACCCTTAGCCCTAATTGGATTAACTTTATATAAAAGGTAAATTACACCCACAAAAACAAATACTCATCTGACTATGTTTTTGTTGTATGGAACACATTTCCAAAATCAATGTCTAAAGCTTAAAGATACATGGAATTATTGGTAACATACTCTCTTTTATAAAGTTCAATTGCATAATCAACGATCAATTATAATTATTTCGCCATTTTGATAACAAATAATTCCTCCCTATCAAATAAACTAAACGATATAGATCATCACATCAAAATCCAACTAAAGGTGCCGTGCACTTGAGCACATGATTTTTGGGACCATTGCAATTACTGTTTGTAGAAAAATATGTTGTAAAGAATGTAATGGCTTCTTCGAAAGTTAAACAGATCACACATTAAGACCCCACACTACTTAGGGGCTGTTTGGCAGGATCTGAATATTTAAGATCTGAATTTTTAAGAGGGTATGAATTTTTAAGATCTGAATTTTTAAAATGTTGTTTGGTTGGAACCTCTGAATTGTTGTGCTGAATAATAAAAATGACCATTTTACCCTTCTATATTATTTTTTACTGATTTCAATATTTTCATTTTAAAAAAATAACTAATCCAACTCTCTAAATAATTATAATATATTACATCAAAGGAAAAAAAAAGCTCAAAAGTAGACTATTTCGATCCAAACAACATCAAAAGTTCAATATATATATATTACATCAAAGGAAAAAAGGCTCAAAATTAGACCATCGATGTTTACACAATAGCTCTTATTTCACCTGAGTGCAAATCAATAGAAATACATACATTTTTCCATTCGACTCTCTATCTTCCAGCTTCTCAGCATCCAGTTCATGAGTTTGACATTCGATAAAAATCACAATGCTTCACCTTCATTAGTAAAAAACTTAACACATTGTTTACCAGAAGATTTTGCATTCTAGCACCACTTAAAATATTGTTGACCAGAAGAATCAATCAAAAAGAAATGTCGATTCTTTCATCAAACCCACAGTAAAAAAAGAAGAAATGATATCAATCAAGATCATGGATCAAGTTAAAAGAGATTGGCCCAATTCCTTTAATACCCTGTGAATTTCTTGAAATTAAAAATCATAACTCGAGCTTACAATTTGATTAAGAAATTCGTTTTCAGAAATTAACACTAGTATAAAGTCGATTTCAGATACACAACAATTACCCGATGTTGTTGTCGACAAGTTTGACGAGGCTAACTAGGACAGTGACCGGCAAGCTGGTGACGACGTCGTCACTGGCAGAGGGAGGCAGATCAAGGCGTGGGGGAGGAGAAGGGATCGGTGGTGTTAACGGTGCGTGCGACGATGTCCTGCTACGACAATGGTGTGTGCGACGTTGCGTGGGACGACGACGGTGGTCCTCTGTGAGGTCCGACGAGATGCAGGGGAGAAATGGTCGGAGGTTTTTTGATGGTCGCAGGAAAATAGAGAAGAGGATAAGAGGGTAGAGATTGGAAAAGATAAAGATAGGGCGTGCTTTTTTTTTTCATACTTGATTTTCCATCTGATTCGGTCAGACATTTTTATCCAATTAAGAGGCTAACTTAAGTGCTAAACAAAATTTATAAGATTCAGAGGTGTCTTTTTTTAAGAGGCATTAATAGCCAAACAAACAGGCCCCTTACTACATACACATGTCTACAAATAAAGGGCAAAATGGGCTGCAGGCCCATATTACTCAAAGGTGTGATTTGAACTTTCCGACAACGTGACTCGTGAATCAAGATCGGTTGTTGTTCGACCATTTCAACAATCCACATATAAAGAAGGCTCGTCAAAGAAACACTTCGAGAAATGAACGATTAAACTGTTCTATTATAGACGAGATGCTGTAAAATTTTGATAAAGATGACAAGCAAAAAACCAAGACATCTTTCAATTGTAATACTGTTACGTTTTTGCACTTTATAATAAAATAAAACAAATTTCTTTTTAAATGGTTTAAAGCATGACATAGATGTTATGTTTTGTTAAAAAACCGATTCTTGTCGCCCGGGTTTTTGGCCCACACCCAGTCCAAGCCCGAACTGATTTAATCAAAAGCAAAGGGTAACCAACCTCGGCCATTTTGAATGATCGGTAAAAGTATTTGCCCGCGATCCATGCGTCATGCTCTCGTGCTCTTGATGTGACATTTTTTACTAAAAAAGGGGTCCACCCATTTTCTCATTTCCTTCTCTTCTTTCCTAACTTTCCTCAATTTGTTTCCCCTACTTTCTCAACGACCTCCTCTACAACAAACTCCATCTTTCATAGCAACAAGCTTGTGGGAACTCTTTTTTTTTTTTTTTTTATTCAGTTGTTCATTAATATGATTTAAATTTATGTTCTTCAAAAAATTGGCCACCAATCTTAGATCCCTTTCTCCACAAATATTCCAACTTAATACCTCTAACCATTTATATATCACGACTTTAACACTTTTTGTAATCTTTAGGAGACCACGGCATCAATACCTCTAAGCATAAAATAGTTTTGTTATCTAAAATGACAAAAATGCTACAATTGATTTCCATATGCAAGTATTCCTATTTTATATAAAAGTCATCAGTGGGTAATTTTGAAAATACAAATCAATTTCATAATTTACCCAAATAAAAATTCTAGTAGTTATTTCACAATAAAGATACACAAATGGTTGAAGTACAAAAATGCCCTTTCACTACCCACTAACTAGAGGCAGAGCCCCCAATGGATCTCGATCTTCATACGCATGAGGCCCCATAAACAGAGATATAAATACCAATAAAAGCAGGGACCAACATCGCCGCCGGCCACTAGTTCGGAAGTTATGGCGTCGAACCACACCGGTGATGATAAGACTGACAGGGAGGAGCAAGAAGAGGCTTTAATAGCTTTGATTGAACACCGCGCCAAAGAAGTTGATCATCTCCGTACGCGTGTCGCCTACTATAAATCCGAGGTTTTGTTACTCACTCCTCTTGATTATCATTCCGTTAACATTTCGTCGTAAAAAAGTGATTTTTCTGGTCGATTCTGTTGTTGTTTGTGTGTTTAATCAAATTGTAATATTTTGTTTAAATTGGAGGCTTTTGGTTGCTTGGTAAGTGTTATAAATTCGTTCTGATGTACAGTTCATGGAAGAAGGTTTTGTTCGTATTGCTTTGTAATGGAAAAATAAAACTGATGACATTTTAGGGGAAATTGTGGATGTAGGTTAATCACAGAAAAGGATTATAACTGCAGTCAGCAAATAAATGATGAAAATACATCTTCTTGTCAAAATTCAGTCACAATAGATTGATTTATGATAACTGAATCATTTGATTGAAATTTAGTTTATGTTGGTGGTTTCTTGTTGGTTTGTGTGTGTTCAAAGAAAGTTTGTTATATAGTCTATGGAAGAAGATGTTGATTCTGGTGCTTAGCTTTAGGTCTTAATATTGAATTTGATGACATTTTACTGGAAATTTGTAGTGTAGTTCAATCAAATGACAAAAATACACATCTTTATGTGATAACAAATTATCATTTTCTTGTAATATAAGATGGAACATGGTTCCTCATGTTACTTGCAACTCTTTTTGTCTGACAACTAACAAAAAATAAATTTCTTTATTTAAATTTGGGAAATAAAAGCTAATATCTTTTTGGAGAAGGTATACAGCTTGATGAATCTGAGAAGAGGTTGGAGGAAACACAACGCAAATTGGCACGCCTTAGAAGTCGAGGGAATCCTGTGGCATCTACAAATATTTCTTCTCAAAATGGTGTAAAAGTGAAAGAAGAGAGGAGATCATGTAGCCCTGTAAAAATAAAAACCAGTGAACATTCTTTACCAAATCATGGTGATAGAGATAGAGGTAATGGAAACTCCTCTGCCTCCAAGAGCTACACGCCAGATCTTCCTAAAATTCCAAAACAAGAACAGAGACCACAACTTGTTATCCCTGCAGTAAATCCAAAACCATCTATAAAACTGGTAGAAACTGCCACTAAACCTTCAACATCAGTTCCAACATATGCCAAAAGCATTGTCAAAGAAAAAGGACATAGAAATAGAACCCCTCATGAACAGGAAGCTGTTGAGACTCCATCCAAAGGGACAAAAAGGAAATTTGGTAATATTTGCTGCTTTTCTATTTGTGTCACTGATTGATCTATCATACTCTATTATTAGTTTATTACATACTTGTTTGGTTAAATTGGAGGTTTTAATGTTTGTTAAATAATTCCAAAATTACAGAGCAGCGTGAACATGTAGATTTAATTCAGATGGTATCCAGTTCATCTTCACCACGTACAATCAATTGCCAGACTTCCAACCACATCTCATGCCAGCATAAGAGAAAGCTCAGAAGTCTTGCCTTGTGTCCTACAAATGATCAGCTTTTTGTGACCAGGTACCAAAGTGTGTGTGTGTGTGTGTGTGTGTGTGTTTCTCCCTACTCCATGATCTTGTAAACTCTTAGTATATATAACTTCCGTTTTCCGTGCATTCTTTTAAGGATCTGTTATTGATTTTTGCAGTGCTCTGGATGGACTTGTAAATCTGTGGCAAATTCAATCCAGAGGGTATGTTCTTTATCTTTTACCTGTTTCATGTTACTATTTTTGAATTTGTATTATGATGCTCCTTTATGTAAGAGACACGAAAGATGATATGTAGACAACACCCGATGGCATGTTGGTAAAATTCATGAACTTTTTTGTTTAGTGTTGACATAAAAAATAAAGGCTAAAGTGTTCATGAACTTTTTTGTTCTTAGTGTTGACATAAAAAATATAGGCTAAAGTAGAAAGTAGATAAATCATAAATGTCTGATGTCAGTTTATGCAGTTCAATTTGTGTACCAAGTAATACCAAAACTTTAGGTGAAGGAAGGAAAGAGACGATTGTATTTCCATAAATAGCAAAAGTTGTTGAGATATATCATGTATAGAAAAAAGTCATATTATCTTTTAGATTATAGGCTATCCTCTGTTGACACTTGACATACATTTATGTCATCTCAACCTGCATGTGCTTACATCATATCCAACTTATTGAAGTGTTGTATGAAGAAATATTGTTTCTTTTTGGATCAAATGAACCTTTTGAATGAGACTAAATTACAATTTTTTTTTATTTTTTTTTGGATTAAACAAACCTCTAAATGAGAGTAAATTACCATTTTACATTCGATTTTTATGCTTCTGAATGAGAAATGAGGGTTTTATTTTTATTTTTTTCAGGATAAATGGTAAAGAGTAAACGTGTCAATGGTGATGTCTGATTACATAAAATTTTCACTTTCCAGATTTTTTTGCATTGAAAGAAACACTCCTGTATATCAGTCTGAATTAATTCCATTAAGTAAAAGAAAGAAACATATTCTTTGATTTTATAAGTTTCTAATTTGGTGTGTTTTTTTTTTCCAAAAAAAAAAAAAAAAAAAAAAACAGATCAAGTGCATATCTTCTTAGTACAGCTGACTGTGCATCCACGAAACACAGAAGGTGGCCAGAAGATATAGCATGGCATCCACATGGCGGCAGCCTATTCGCTGTCTACACTGCTGATGGTGGGGACCCTCAGATATCAGTCCTCAATCTCAATAAACCAAAAGAGAAAAAACGTGTAACTTTCCTTGAAGATAAACCACATGTGAAGGGCATCATCAACACCATATCATTCATGCCATGGGAAGATACTTGTTTTGTAACTGGTGGAAGTGATCATGCTGTGGTTCAATGGAGTGATAAAAACGGGGATGATTCTTGGAAACCAAAAGTATTGCACAGAAGTATGCATTCTTCAGCTGTTATGGGAGTTGCAGGGATGCAACAAAAACAGATGGTGGTTTCTGTAGGTGCTGATAAAAGGATAATTGGATTCGATTTACAAACTGGAAGAGCCGATTACAAGCATCAGATTGAAAGCAAGTGTATGAGTATTCTACCAAATCCTTGTGACTTCAATCTTTTCATGGTTCAAACCAGGTGAAAATGAAAATGAGAACACAGTTGCCCTCATTTTCTGAATTATAAAAAGTTGAATATTCTATTAATATTTATATTACAATTTGTATTTGCAGTACTCCAGAGAGGCAACTCAGATTGTTTGACATCAGATTAAGGCGAACTGAAATACACGAATTCGGTTGGAAACAAGAAAGTAGTGAATCACAATCCGCTTTGATCAACCAGACGTGGTCCCCAGATGGTTTGTACCTAACCTCGGGTTCAGCGGACCCCATGATCCACATATTTGACATTAGGTTTAATGCCAACAAACCCTCGCAGTCAATTAGAGCTCATCAGAAACGTGTGTTTAAAGCCTCGTGGCATCACTCCCTTCCTCTCCTCATTTCCATATCCTCAGATCTCAACATAGGGCTGCACAAGATCATATGAAAACTCGCACGAATTTGTTGTGTTTTTAATTTTTTTTTTTTTGGTAATATGAGGAGTTAAAAGTTCAATACTTTTGCAGGGTTTTAGAGCAATTTGTGCTAAGAAGAGGAACAAATGCATAATGTCTAATTATATTTATATTTAATGTTGTGGTAGATATTATTATATGTGTAATGCATGGGTACAAGATGTCGGTTGGATGATTGTTCTAGATTATTTATTTATTTATTTCTTTATTTCAATATGTAGGTTAATGATCAAATTATTTATTTCATATTTTCATTAGCTGATAAAATTATTTGAAGTTATTTTATTTTTTATTTTAATACAGGTTAGCTGAAATATATTATTTAGATGATAGATTTAACTTGCTTCTTTTCCTTTTTCCTATTTTCTTGTTACGATTAAATACATTGAAGTTCTCTATTTTAAGAATACGTTATAAGTTTTGTATTTTTAACATTTATATTACGATTTCAAAGAAAAACAAATATTAATATTAATACTTAATGTTAGTTATAATTTATTAGATTTTAGCATAATATTATATGTTAAAAAAATAAATGAGAAATAAGAATAATAAAATAATAGTTTGATTGTATTAACATTTGAAAAAAATACCATCTAAAAATATCTAAATAATTAACCATTACTTATTATCAAACAATCGTATATTATAAAAGACAATGACTATTTTAAAGATGCATCATTCTGAAAACTGAAAATGGATTCCATAACTAAATGGAGCCTAAGCAACTGAATTATCAAGCTTTAAACCCATTAATTAATTGGTTGACTTCAACACCAAATTTATCCCTTCAAAACCCAGAAATCATGAATGGCACGTGCATTGTCCATCCCTCCTTGCTGAAAATTGAAAATAAAAGAGTTGGTCTTCCCTGATTTTGGAAGTGATTGCTTCATGTCTTATATAAGCAGCAGATGGATTTTTTGGCTGTTCACCAAAAAGCATAAACAATAATCATTTTGGAGTCTGATTTTACGGTTGATTACAGTTATGACCTTGTTTCTGTCTACTTAAAAGGGACATAACATAATCTAGTAACATATCGACGTTTGTCTTAGACTTAATGCAGACATTACGACTTAATAGAGAAAGTGGGAAAAATGAGGCTTTCAACATTCGGTCATAATTTTTTACAAGTTTTCACTCATTTGATTTTGGGCTAAATGTAAGAAATAACATCATACTTTCATTTATTTGTTTGTGTATAATAGCTTCCTCCCTACTTTCATTTGCAGCATTGTACTTCCAAATCCTTTTATGTACTTTGAAAAAACTGCCCATTATAGGATAGTAGTCATAGTACTTGCAAAATCTTTTCTTATTTGGACACTACACAGTGAAAATTTTAGCAGTGAACTTTTTTTATTTATTTATGGATGGCATTTCTATAATTAGGAAGTCTATTATTCAAAGCACAACACTGTAATACAAAGAAATGGTAGTAACATGCTATATATTACAAACAAATCAAGCGGCTATTTCTTGCAGTTAACGATACAAAATAAGACCAATACCAAATCTCATGGTTTAAGAAAGCAATAGATAAACTAACACTCTAACAGTAACAAAACAAAACATACACGTCATTTTACTATACCTTTTGACAATCAATTTTGTTGGTGCTAGTATGAAACTAATAAGTCAAAAGTGATTAATAGGGGCAAATGCAAGAAATAGCAACGTAATTTCATTTATTTGTGTTGATAGTATCTTACTCAATTTCTTTCTATTACAATATTGCACTCTCAATATCTTTCTACTTTGAAAAATCTACTCAAACTCATTTTTTCCATTATACTTTGCAATAATAGCAGTACATAAAACTTTTAGATTCTGAATACTTTGCAAGAAATAGCACGAGCTTCCTAATACGTTGACACATCTTCCTCATAATTCGTTCAATTTTGTTGAGGTTTCAACAATAAAACGTTTAGATTCCTAATAAGTCGTCATTGCTTTGCTTGTAAAAGAAACAAAGCCATATAACCCAAAATATCCCTCCGACGGCGCCGCCCTGCTCCTCCGCCAGTGACACCCACCTCCAGGCTCCAGCTGAAATCCGAGATTTCTCATATTTGGCTAGTGGCTGCTTGAAATCTTTTGCAATGTGAAATTGTTCAAAGGTTTGGTTTGCTTTAACATGTACCATGCTCGTACGCATATCCAATTGAATCCCTAACAAATGCACATGGATTTCTAAATCTCTTGTAGAAGAAAGTAACAACGTATTCATGTGTGTGATTGCAATTGGAGATTGTTTTAAAGGATTGGGTAGTTGCTGCTTGAAGTCTTTACGAACCAGGTACTTATTTCTTGCTTTTTGAAATAATGAAAAGTATCTATGTGTGTGGTTCTGAATTCCCAGTCCTGTTTTCGTTTGTATAATGCACTCTGCACACAAGGTGTTTGATATTTGTCCTAGCTGACCCATAATGAAATATGCAGAGAATAATGGAGAGCTTTGAAGATATTGGATAACTTTGGTCTACTATCTTTTTTGCTGAAACTTGTCAATTTTAATATCATCAGCAATGTCTTTACACAATGTTACCAAATTTATACGAAATTTATGTGAATTGTAGTTGTTGAAGAACCCAAACCAGCTATACTCAATACCTTTGGTTTGTTCAAAGAATCTGATATAGCAAATAAGCTAGGGAGGGATCTTTATTGTCATAGCCATTGCATTGAGATAAAAGGATTATTAGATTTTAATTTAATCATGTTGCAGGGTTTTAATGAGAGGAACAAATGCAAAATGTCTATTATATTTATATGCAATGTTGTGGTAGATACTATTATATATGTAACGTATGGGTACAAGATGGTAATATTTTCAACTCAAAATCTTGTGACCTGATTCAGTTAAAGTTATATGATTGCTTTTAAGATCAACGTTTAAGAATCTATGTATAAAGTTTATAATTAAATAGGGCATATTTAAATATTACTTTTAGCAATAGGATCGTTTAATTGATTGTAAACTTATAACATTTGCCATCAAACATCGACTGAAAATACGTTTCTTTTGCGTATAATTTGCCTATCTATATCAATGTTTGATCTTATTATCTTTAGTAACAAAAACAAATATATATTTCATTTCATAACTAGATATGACAATACAAACACGTTTAACATGTTTGGATAAAAACGTTATTTATTTCAATACGGGTCGGTTCGGGTTGGATTAACCCATCAACACTTTTTTTTTTGTCCATTCATGTTTGAATCTTGGAAAGGGTCTATGGTCATCCAAATCAATGAAATATTATTCATCTTTCAAACATGCTACGTGAGCTTATGCAATAACTACTTCTACATCAATGCAATATCACTCATTTTTCCAAAATGGTTTCGACCGCCACATCAACAATTACTTTATATTTCTAAATCATATTTTAAATATTAAAAATCAATAGTTACTTAATAATAAATTACAAATAAATATATTTTTTATAAATAAAATAACTTTTTAAAATATAAAATAACAAAATGATAATAATTTAGTTTTCTATATTAAATATCTATATATTAAGATGTTGCAAATCTATCTCTTCTAATAAAAGAATCATATTTAGGCCACATAGCATCTTTCTACACCACCATGTTTATGCCACCTGTCGTTTTTATATGCATCTTATTTTTCAATTCCCGCTCACCCAAATGAAATTGTATCGGATAAAACTTTCCATGTTCAATCCTAAATATCAGCCATTTAATTAGTAATATTAAGTAAATTTCAATTTTGAATTCTACCTTCTTATTTGAATACCTACAAATAAGGAAACAATTCAACGTTTTTATTGTAATTTGATAACTACCTTGGTAATATATACAGTTTGTTTGACGTATTGAATTCAATCCTAATTATCCCGTGTCTCTTTCACTCCACTGGACATCGGCAGTGCTGGAAACATGTGGGTTTGATTTTGTGTTCACCAATCGTTGATTTTGTTATCTCCCGTCAACGTATTATCTACAGCCACCACCACTCACTCTGTTCTTCATCCTTTACCAATTGGTAAGATTGTTTTCAATTTGTACTTATCTTTTTTAAAGCTTCAACCTTAACCAAAAAATATGTGTTCATGAAATCGAATAAGTTGGTTTAATAGATTTCAAAGTGCACTACAACTGTTCGATAAAACGCCTACATGAATTTAGAGTGTAGTTCTATTTCGGGTTTACTCTATATTGGTTCTACAAGTTTCCTAGAGATAATCATATTTTTCTGGGAGTTACATGCTTGAAATTTATAATTAGATTCTTTTTTGAATTAATTTGTGTTGGATATATGTAGTTGTTCTTGAAATATTTATGTATTTTTGCCCAGGAGGATGAAAGGTGGATCAATCACTTCTCATAGAAGTTCTCCTCACATCAGTAAGTTCTTTTTTGTTTCAAATTTATGAACATTTTGGTTATTGTAATGTTTTTATGGAGTTAAACATGTGTCCTTTGTCCTTACTATTGATAAAAATTATGGATTCTTTTTTAATGGTTATGAAAAAACAGAACTAAATGCAAGAAAGAGGACAGCAATATGCAAGACTAAATCACAATATGCAAGACTAAATCAGTGGCATGGCAGCAAACAAGTGACATGGCAGTAAACAAGGTGAAACATCATACTTTCATCATTTTCGTTACACCATTGTACTAAACATCCCTCTTTTATTTTTAGCTTTTTAGTGATTTGAGTAAAATGGACATTGCTATATTTGATTGGATATTTTTGCTGTTTCGACTCATTAGCACTTGACAATAGAGGACATGAGAAAATGGGGAGTTCTACATACAATTTTGCCACATGGCATCTTTTTCTTCACCCTCTAATCTTCTTCTCGCCTATTCCTTCAATAATATACTTTCCTAAAAATTAGCAGTCAGTTTACACACAATTCCAATCAATCAGCAAAATAACCATCCTCCTTCAATTCCGCCTTCTCACTTTTAGAAACCAAATCACATTAATATTAATTTAAAGTTTTAAATGTCGAATCCCTTAGGGTTTAATCCTACTGCGTTTCCTACTCAACAAAGCCAGTAATGGAGATATACATATCTGGTTTTGAACTTGTGTTTGATGGTCTGTTTTCTGGTACAGAACAAGAAACATCATCCAAAGATCATCTTCTTTGTTTTATTGTCTTGAAAGGTAGATTCTTTAGATGATTTTTTTGTGTATCCTCTTGCTCGAATAATTAAGTAGAAGCAAGAAGATCAACTCCTTCTGCATCATAGGGCTTTTTGAAAATGCTACATCTAATATTTATTAGGATAAGTTACATGTACGCCAAATGTTTGCTAAAATTCTTCAATGAAATATATGTTTCTGCTGGAACATATTACATATGCATCTGATCATTGATTTCTATGTCCAAGTGGAAACATAATTTGATAAGAGAAGTCAGTGAAAAATTTCTCAAAAGTTTATGCTACTTTGAAGCTATATGGACTAAAAACAATGAATCAATTTTATGCATTAACAAAAAACTTGTGAGGAAACAAACTGATATGAACAAGCAACTTTATATGTAGTTGACTTCTTATGTGGCTCAACTATAAATATGTTTGAAATTTCACTGGAAGGTGTAGTTGTATGTTACCCATTATAACCGTTGACATTTTGTTGTCATAGTACGAGACTCAATCAATGTTATAGTTGCTCATAATTTTGGTCTTAATCCTCCAATTTTGCCTAATCTCTCTCTCTCTCTCTCTCTCTCTCTCTCTATATATATATATATATATATATATATATATATATA